GGTATCATCTTAAAGCCTGTTCATTTGCATTTCTTTTGGTGAAATAAATATTGATCCATGATAAATAGAAGTCGAGGTATTTACAATTGAAGGAGGTCAGGGTCGTCTGGCTTCAGAGGTAGAATTGGCAAGAAAATGGTCGCCAAAGTCTGATTATTTCCATAGCTTGATAGTCCATGGAAACTGAAAACTTACATTATTTGTGTCTCTAATCAACGTCTTTTAGTAAAATCCACCCTAGAAGAGTGTTCTTAATTGGACAACAATGGTGTTAAGCAAAAAAAAACCAAAAAAAACACACAAAAACCCCCCAAAACAACAACAGAAATTCGATAAACATTTCCAATCTGGCAGAAAAATGCTAGTTTCTTCAGTTTCACGATTTTGACGAGCGCCTGATTTCACCCTGCTGCCCCACATTAATATCATCGATCTTCTGCACTGGTTTAGAAAACCTTTTTGTATTGGCTATAAGGTTCTTATGCATATTTCCTGATAGGCCTGATTTTTTTGTTTGTTGTTATTGTAATATCTACAATGAAACACAAGGAAGTTTGCCCAATGTTTTCCCGCTTTAGAGTACGTTTCTGGTGACGTCAGTATTGTGTACCGAAAATAGAAACTGCAAAAATGATGACGCAAAATTGGGAGGAAAGAAAAAACAACAACCCCCCCCAAAAAAACACTTTTTTGTTGTTGCTTATTTGCATGCCGTGAGTTTACGTTGTTTGTCACAATTATGCTTTCCCTCTTTCAGTGCATTCCAATTTAGTCTGAAACCCAATATAAATCTCCCTTTAACCAAGGAGTGATTGCGAAGCTGGGAGAGCCAACCCCTTCGTTTTCTTTTTCTCCTCCTCATTGAATATTCATTAGGCTATTAGCATGCAGCGGAGCTGTTTTTGTTCTTAGCGTCTCTCATACATTTTGAAATATGTATTTCTCTCTCGGGCTTTAATTATCCCAGCATGCTTTTGGGTGTCGAGATAATACTAACCAATCATCAGTTTTTATGTTGTAATGGGGAATCCTACTGCACTGGGAACACTATTTGATAACGCTATTTCGTGGAAGTGTCTATGACAGGTAATTCCCAAACGAAGAGGAGCGGGAGATTTGGGGGAGAGGCGGGGGGGGGGGGG